ATTGTGGCATTGTATTTTCTCAACTTGTTTTTCCAATTTTAATATTTTGAGTTTTGATGAATTTCTTGACCGCCCCCCTTCAAATATTCTTCTGGTTCCGCCACTGGCCCAGCGCATGGGCCAGCCCATCCCGGGGCGTCTCCTCACCACGTGGGTCGCGCCTCGGAGGCTGTAGCTGAGCGGGTCAGGAAAGTAGATGCGAAGCGCCTCGGAGGCTGTAGCTGTAGCTCATGGCCAATCGCGTTCTTTATGGGGCAAATATGATGCTCCACATCAACCGTGAGGCCCAGATCGAACACCTCTACGTCGGAACCGTCAACGGCCTCGACGCCTGAATCATAGCCCACTGGGCGATCATTATCAGCGGCTACGTCTTCCACGACCATCTGGATCGCACCTCCTTGGGGGGCATCGTCCCCATCTCCCCAGGGACCGCATCACCATGGGCTGCGTCTGCCGAGGAGGTACTCGCAGAGGTAGAAGTCTCAGGAGCATTGTCTTGCACAATCATCCCCGCAACAGACGGGGAGCCGAAGCGGCCGGAGGTACTGGCGCCCTCAGAAGAGCGAGAACTGGACTCAGAGCCAGAAGAGGAGCCGGAAGAGGAACCTGAGCCAGAACTCGAGGAGATTTCCATAGAAGTCATTGGAAAGATCAGAAAAGGGTTACGAAGAAAGGAAAATAGAGCCTGCAATACCTTGGATCGACGGAAGCAAGCTAGGGACCTTGTGGACGAACTGAGCACAAAGCAACGAAGATTCTAGAGCGAGAAAACAGAAGTCGGGAACCCTAAGCCAAGGGGAAACCCTGGTATTTATTGGAGAGGCACCGATTCGGGGGCCAATAGGAAGGCAACGCGTGGCGAGGAGCGTACCCAGGTGCACGCGCTGCGCGTGAAATGGGGAATGTAATGATGACCTTACCTCGGAAAGTGTACCGTTTCTGCGGCAGCCGTCACCTCGATTCCTGAACCGCCATCAGATAAGAGACGCCATGGAGAGGAACGTCCACCCTCGGGAAGGCGGCAGGCATAAGTTCCATGCCACGAGCGTCCACCTTTTGGGGACAATATACTTCCTTATGCCCTTCGCACGCTCAGAACATCAGAAGTGAGAGACTTGTGTTAATGGCCCAGCGCATGGGCCAGCCCATTCACCTCGACCAGACGAACGTCTTTCGTGGCGGGGCAGCCCACTCGGACGAACGTCCGTACGAAGACAAATGGATCAAATCCACAGACAAACACAACGGCGACGAACGTCGCCTCCGGAAACCACTGTCACTTGGAGCTAATCCAACCCATGTGACAAATCATCTAAGGGCCAGGATACGAATGGCCCATTACCCTTTGCGAATATCACCAGGAGCAGGCCCCCTTATCCAGGCTGGACGTACGTCCCCACAACTAGGCGGGAAACCCATATTCTGGCGGGAAGCGCATTTAATGCCGGAGATTTGGTGGTTGGGACATCAGCCACACGCAAGCCTCCACGTCAGCATAGCCAGCTACCCATTGGTAGGCTCACCTATAATTTTTGCCAAAAATCTTCAAACTCTTCAGGGTGAAATTAGAATACATTGCTTTCTTAAAAATATCCAAAAATGGTGTGTTGTTTACATTCTCGCATGCATTTTTATTCAAGTGACATGCACACAAACAGTGAGTAGTTAGGATTTTTTACTTGGACTGTAATTTGTCCCAGATCAGACCAGATCAGTCTAGACCAGACCAGACCAGACTTGGATAGTTATAAAAATACAAAGAACCCAAACATTACCAGACCAGACCAGACCAGTTCAGACCAGACCAGCAAATTACAGTCCAAGTAAGAACATCCTTACTGGAAAAACTACTTTAATAGCCTCCCTCATACCAACATCACCATCACTAACCACTGATATGGGATGTTTATTGTGCATTACTTCCAAAAAAAAGCTTTTAACACCCATTTATATGTCTCAAATGTTTCATCTGACACCAAAGCACAATCAAATATAATAGTTTGAGAATGGTGGTTACATCCTGAGAAAATAACCAATAGATAATTATATTTGTTTTTCTTGTACATGGTGTCAAATGCAAGAACATCACCAAAGCATTGAAAGTCTACTATACTTTGTCCATCTGCCCAAAATAAATGTTTCAGCTTTCCATCATATGTAGTAGAATACTTACAAAACATTATGGGGTCATTGTCAGCTTTGCCTTGAATGTAGCGAAGCGCAGCTCGTGAATCCCCATCTTGAATCTTAACACGCTTCTATCTATCAAGATAGTTATATAGATCCTTTTTTGAAAACTCAATCCCACTATACCCTCCTTGTTTAGCCAACATATACCCCATAAAGTGACATGTCCGAACACCCTGCATGTGTAAGATATCAATTTGGGCTTTGTCTGCATCATTCATGGCACGATAAGCGGGAAACATTCATATACACATTGAGTATATGGGTTTAAACTTGTCATAGTTGTTAGTAAATGGGTTTAAACTTGGGAGTTTGTTGAAAAAAAGAATATTGTGTGTAGAAAAGTTCTGAAAAAATAATCCTTCAAGTAAAAACCATGAATTTATGGTACACAAACTATGCTTGAAACCAAACTTACAAACCTCGTATTATAGAATAAACTGGACAACATCTAGCCCCATAAGTTAGGAATTGAAGTTGCTACCAGAACCTCGCCCCAATCGGAGTTCGTTTGACATGTCATTTGAGTTAGGCCCTCTTGCTAATACATATACTTCAAAAAATAGAATTGCATGGACAAATCAAGTGGGTTTAACTTGGAAACATAACACATCGGTAACTAAACAAGTAGGAGTACTTGCTTTAAATATCAGTGAACAATACATTATATGAGATAGTCAAGTTAGAAACATAATGAAAACCTGTTATACACTCCTCATTCAAAACGTCATTCTGAACATAAATTTTCAATGTGTTTATACTTTACTGTGTCACCATTTAAACCTTGACAACTCCACATATACCTCTAGTAACTTTAACATTATATTTGACTAAATTACAGAAACCTTAATCTGAATTTAGCCCATAGTGATAATACACAAACCAATATAGCCAAATAAAGTTGGCTTCATAAACTAACTTATATAATGATTACAAATGAATACAAATAAACTATAGATGGTTGAAAGATTTCAAACTAACTTATATAATGAATACAAATGAACTATAACCAAATAAAGTTGGCTCGATGTGGTTGTGTGCACTGCATATGCATCTACCTATTTTGTATTATTTTCAGACAGATGGTTCAAAGATTTGACTTTTAAGGAGAAATTCTTGAATATGTAATCAACACATTTGGACATTTGGTTTCACAGAAGACATGAAATTGTCTCTATGAAGTTAAATATATTCGCAAACTATATATGCTCCACCATACAACAATAGTTAAGCAAAAGTCGGTATATTTTTACCACACCCTTCTGCCTAGAACAATAAAAAAATAACTTGGAAGTAACATTATGCAAAATACTTAACATTCAATATTTATGTTTATAAACAATGAGTTTTAATAACATTACATTACTAAGCCATTGACATGAGAAAAAAACCATACAAAAGTGATTGACTAACATTACAATAATAATTGGTAAAAAACATTGTGCAAGACAAATCCATACGTCCTTCATCTTACCCTTTTGATATTCAGTTTACTGGAAGGAGATCCAAAACAAACGTTCACACCATAGCTTGTCACTTCGATATTAGAGAGTTGTCCCGTATCACAAATGTTTTTCTTTCACTTACACTTGCCTCATTTTGACTAGGCATATCTACCCAAGAGAGGGTATCATCAGGAACTAGTAGAGTAGTAGAGAATTAACATCAAATGATCCATTAATACTATCCAACTCCAAATCATGATCTAGGTTATTCAAACCTGCAATACATTATTCATTCAAAATGTCATCCTCTGTGTTAATGCGCTCCTCAGTGTTTTGTATGTTCTGCTGTAACACTTTTTGGGCTTCAGGAACTCTTGTTGCTGCTTTCGTCTTCTTTCTAGGCTACAAAGGTGGTAAACATATCAAGACATTACAAGTACATATATATTACTGAGCAAATATAATTGTAAAATAAAAGTATATAAAATAACTATAAAACCAGATTATTACCAACTTATCTTTAAGTTTGGGATCATCTGGACACTTCCTACAATTATGACCAGCTTTTTTGCAGTTCGAGCAGTGCAATGTAATATGACTCCTATCTACTCTTTCACCATCAGTTCTAAGCTCACCAGTTGATCTTTTCCTCATTTTTTTGGTCTGCCCAGCTTATTACAATAAAGTGGAGGTGGGGGGGGGGGGGGGTTATCAGTTACTGGCCATTCCTTAGATCTAGAGATTGGATTTATTGACCCACTGTAAATCTTCATGTATGTATCTTTGGAATAGTAAGGACTAACGTAATCATACACAGGACCCTTGCCATGTTTGAGCCAAATTGCACACACTCCATGTTTACACGGTATTCCAGTCAAATCCCACACCCGACAAGAACAAGTTCTTTGTGCTAGATCAACATAATGTTGCTCACCGTACATGCCTGTTATTTCAAATAGAGTGTCAGTTGCTTGATAACCCAAATACCCAGTCGCCTTTTTTTTCAATCTCTTCTATTTTTTAACAATCTTAGGACATACCCCACACTTCTACTTTCTTCACTTCTTTCGTGTGTCATAGAACCTAGTCATAAGCAACTTCCTTAGAGTTTTGAGGCATGTAATTACAGGTTGATCCTTGGCTTCTAATATGACAAAGTTAAAACACTCACATATATTGTTAACCAACATATCACAATGTGTTGTGGTAGTGAAGTGTGACCTAGACCACTCACTAGGATGCTTAGCAGATACCCACTCATGTCCTTTTTTATCTAGTTCCTTCAACTTGGTCATCCCAATGCTGAAAGAGTTCACTGTGGAGGCCCTAGCACACGACCACAATGCATTTTTCAATGCACTCCCTTGGAAACCAGCAACTTTCATGTTGGTATTAAGTGCCTAACACAAAACTTATGATCTGCTTCAGGTAAGACCTCTTTACAAGCCTGAATTAAACCTTTTTGCTTATTAAACATAATAATAGTGTACTATGTTCACTATATCCTCGCATATATTCAAATCTGTTTTCAAAATTCTCAAAAACCAACTCCAAGACTCTCTTGTTTCTCCTTCAACAATTGCATATGCAATAGGGAAGATATTATTGTTCGCGTCAATATTGACCACCATCAACACCTATTAATTTGACCACCAATGGTAGTCTTAAAGTGGCAATCATCAACACCGATTAATTGTCGACAATAATTGAATCCCTCTTTGCAATCATCCCAACACAAATAAAATCTCATAAACCTACTTTCCTCACTCGAGTTAGTCAAGGTACTTACTTTCACAACACATGTTGACCTAGGATTGGTCTTATCAATTTCTTCACAATAACTCCAAATCTTTTTGAAGTTGTCCTCTTGGTCCCCTTGGATTTGTTTCTTTGCTTTTCTGGATTGCTCTATATGCTTTTTTGGTACTCACATGAAACTTTTCTTTGGTACACACTTTTTTCTCAATTCCTTCATTTTCCAATTGCTGTGTAATTGTATCTCTTTGGACCATCTTTTTGCAATTTTGGTTGAATTAACCATCTTGTTATGGTAATTCCAACCACACTCTTCATGGGTTTTTGAAAATCTCAATATCCTCCATGATAAGGAATTCTGCACTTTTCTTAGAGATATTGTCCAAGGGCATTCAGTTTGCTTACACTTCACAATAAATCTAAGAGAATCATTTTTCACAAATTTCAAGTCCTTCCCATGTTCAAATCCATAATTAGGCAATGCTTCTCTAAATTCTTTCTTACTTGAAAATGTCATACCTAAAGAAAATGTTGGATTTTCCACTTCTGTGTTAGCTCTGAAAACAGGCCACCCAACTTTTGGACTTTCAGCATCATTGTCTGAGTCTTCTAAGGAACCATCATCAGATAAGTTAGGGTCAAACCAACCTTGTTTTGCAGTACACCCAAGAGCTAGTTATTCTTCATCTCTCATAAAACTAGCATATATATATATTCATCACCAAAGTCCACATTCTGTTCAAACTCAATATTATCCTGATTAATTTCATCCATATCACTGTATGAAAATTGCTCTACTTCAGAATGAGAATAGCTACATTCGCTCTCTTCATCATCTCCACAATGTAATTCTACAAGTGTAAGCATATATTTAGAACAAATTTCTTTAACATCTGATCAATACATAGATTAAGTTAAAGGAAACCGAAAGCTAGTAAAAAATGCTTCATGTCATTTAATAGAATAAGGGGAAAACCAAAGCATACTGAAAGACTAGGAAACAAGTTCATGGTTGTTAAGTGCCATCAAGTAATCGATTTGGTATTCATGACATCATCTAGATGATGACCAGACAAGGTTTAGGCATTCCAACGGTGGAGAATACTCGTCATGGTTGGTCATCTCGCTTGAGGAGCATCAGGCATTGAATGGCATCCTCCGTGGCGATTTACAGAATTGATTTTACACCAAATTCATTTGGATCCAATGACGTGCACTTTGTCATGGTGTGCACTCAAAGTAATAATACAATACACCAATTATACGTAGTATAATGAAGTAAGGTTCGTATCCACAGGGAAAGGAATACTTTTCTTTTTATAGAACTAGTAACAAAAAGGGGTTTTTTAGTTTGATTTGGTTTAATTGAACACGAATATGAACGACTTATGTGGTTTACTTAATAAAGATGAAGACTTGGCTTTACTTTTATCCACTCAATGAAATGTTCGTCGATCCCGGTTATATCTTTAACTATCTTCCTCTCGAATACTCAATCGAGGAGTATATCCACTTCATCGAGGGTAGTTATTAATAACGAGACGCTTTCATTAATAAAACTTACTACCGAGTCAATATAGAACACACGCCGTATATTAACCCGATAGTAGCAATAAAATCAAGATGAAAACGATTGAGATTGATAACCACAACACAAGCGGTTTATCGGTTTAATCAATATAATTAAGTTCCCTTCGGTTATTAACCATGAGACGCATGCATTAACAACCCAAGTTTACTACCGTGAAAGGACCGAATTAATAACAAGCGTATTAATCGATCGATTGTAGTAATAATTAATATATGAAACAAAACTAGTTGATCCTTTAAGTAATGCTCAAAATATTAATATGAAATAGGAATATGAATTAATTAATATTCAAGGAAGAAGATTAAAGAAAATAACTCACAACTTACAATTCATTAAGCTTCAAAGTAGCAAAACCAAGATGAAAGAGTTTAGCTCCTCATTTGGAGACTAAACATAATGAAAATATAAAGAAAGAACTTATTTAGACTAAGCTTAGAAGTGTATAGGAATTTGTATCTAATTGTGAAGGAAAGGAGGTGTATTTATAGGCTTTTGGAAATGCAGCTCGGGTACCCGATCGAGTATACATAGGGTACCCGATCGGGTATTTGCATAATGGTGAATTCGAGCTATACTCGACCCATTTCAGGGTTAGAATTAAAGGTATACCTGATCGGGTGTGTCAGTGTACCCGATCAGATATAACAACTGATCGTGGCCAAATCTTCCCCAGCACGACCCTTTGTTTCCCGAATTGATCTGATTGAAAGTCAAGTGGGTACCCTATCGGTTATAGGGTATACCTGACCGGGTACAGGTCAAAATCAGGAACTTTCCTTTTTTGTCTTGTATTCTTGCACCTTTCTTCCGCTTTTGGTCTCACCAATGATCATTTGATTGATCCTGAACCTGTTTTAGTTCAGAATAGACCTAATCTAAACAATTTACAACTATTTTACAAACATAACTATTACACCAAAAGTGTGTAATTTCCAAAGCATCGAACAACAAAAACTAACTAAAAACATTCACATACATATGGAAATTACAAGTGTATCACCTAACTGCACAGCTCATTTTCAATTCTTTTCTCCTAAACACTTAAAATCATGGTTTTTTTTGTTCGAGTACATACCGTTTCTGTGAAAGATGGCCGCATCTCTTAGAAGAGGAGAGTCCGCCTTTTTTTTGGAGTTAACCTTCAAAGCATACCTTCATGTGTTTGTTCCTTCTTTTGGAGCAAAAATGCATAAGAATGAACGATTTAATTTTCAGGAACGCGGGTTTCATACTTATTACTTGTTTAAAGACAAAAGTGCCCCCAAAAATAAGTAAGTGAGATGACCGGGAGAAAATAGATAGCTTGACCGACGGGTTTTGGACGGCTAATTGACCGGAGGACTAAAAATGCCCAAAATGTAAGGCACCGTTTGGTTCACGAAATGTCAGATTACTGTGAGAATGTCAGATTGCTGGGTATGTTAGATTGATGAGAATGTATTCATCTGTTTTCCATTTGTGTTTGGTTACGTCTTAGAGAATAGAACATTAATTTGCTTGGTTGAATGATATCTTATACTACAAATTTGGTGATTTACTTCAATGCCCTTTAAACGTTTTCTCTTAGCACAATAAACTTATTACAACCTACATTTAAATTAACTTAAATTAAAGAAATAACTGAAACACCTTAACACTAAATAAAATCAAAACTGAGTGAATTGTATAACTAATTGTACAAATGACAAAGATACAGTGTGGATGTTGCACCCAAAGATAAAGATAAGTGAACATTAGCAAATAATTTTGTTTAAGTAAATACATAATGACATATATACATTGATAAATAAATGTAAATATATCATTACCAAAACAGTTGTATAAAAAGAACAAGTCAATGTTGCTCTACTTAATTTTGCTAAACTCTCTTTTCAGATTATCAAAATAGTGAACTAAATTATTAAAAACAATAGGCACAATAATAAGAAGAGCATATTTAAATTGCTTAATGATTCAATGACAAATTAGAAGGTTAAAGAAAAATTCAAAGAACAACACAATTTGTTGAAAAAATAGAGAGAAAATTAAAAAGAAATTAAAGAATAATCAAAAGAATATTAAATAGGATTAAAGATTTCATTTAGAGGGAGCAATTACTTGATTTAGGAGTCTCTTGTAAAATGAAGAGGAAAAAATCTGGACAAATTTGAATGGAGAGGAGGCCTAAATAGGATTGAAGAGATATTATAGAATGCTAATTAAATTAGCAAGAGTAATTTTTGAACAAAATTTATAATCCGAGGCATGTCACTCCATTATTTTCTATTTGGGAATATAACATTCCCAAAAAAATTCAAACCCACGAACCAAATGCGGACATCTCACATTCCGGACATGAGATTCCGGTCTGCATAGATGATTACCCCGAACCAAACGTGCCCTAATAGTCATGCCCCAGAAATGAGACTTTTAAAAGAAGAGGACCAAGAATGAGACTTGGTACATAGTCATATGATCAAAAGTGGCAAAAATTCCAAGATGTAATTAAATAGAGGGAGGGGAAAGAATTGGAAATTGAAAAACAAATACTCCAAAGACCAGGAACAAGAGCGTTAAGGCGCTGTTTTGCAATTTTAAAAAAAATAATAGTAGGAGACTATTTGACTAGATGACGTGTTAACCTGCTTAGCAGCTTAGATGGAGTTGTCCGGTCAGAGATGAGGCTGCTACTTGGAGTTTCTTTTTGTTGGTTTGACCGCGGTGTCAACTCTTGATGGAGGCAGGAGTATTAATTTGCAAATTAGCCGAGCCGTAAGCCCGTAATCCTTTGACCAAGGGGTCAGTTGCTTCCCTCTGGACCGCGATGCAGTGTTACTAGCTTCACTTGAGCCGAGTTGCGGCTTTGCTCGCTTCTATTGAGTCGAGGTGTAGCCTTACTAGCTTCAATTGAATCGAGGCATAACGGGCTGAGAGGATCTCACTTGATGTGTTTCAGCTCTCAACGAGAACACCAAATGTTGGATAATAGGGTATCCAAAGTATATAATAAATGGAGAGATTGAGCCCAAATGGAGAAGATGATGAATGTGATGTTGTATTGAATTATGTTCTTATGACTTAGGTTTACAAGAACTCCAAGAGAAGTATTTATGGAGAAATAATGGGCTGGACCGCTAATATGGACCTGATATGCCCAATTACATAAAAAACTAATGTAGTAGATACAAATGATATATGAACTGTACAATAATACATATGGCATCCGATAGCTTGTGCGGGCCGCTGTCTAGGCCCAATAGTCGTGAGACCCAGGGGCCCGAGTCTATATACTCTATCGTCTAGTATATAGGCGATTTCCTTAAAATTTTGAACGAGAAAGATATTTAGCCAAAATTTGTTCTTTAATTAAGGTCTTCAAGTTTGGGTTTTTTGTTGGAAATTTCAGTGACTTTTAGAAGAGGTGAAATTGAGAAACCGACCACAAAACTTGCCTCGATTTCGGTCAATTTATATTGGTTTCAGCCAATTTTAGCCTTTTTGGTAGGGTTTTGTTGGTGGGTTTTGGTTTGACCAGTTTTGTCACCCAAAATTATAAAACATCAACCGAATAACCGATGGATTAGTCACTTTCGGTTAGTTTCGGTTTTACCGGTTCGGTTTCAGTTTCACTCCACTATGTTTTGATCGGTTCGGTTTCGGACGGTTTTGGTTTTTCGTTTTTCTCTTAACCTCTAAGATTTAGTATGCAGAAACAACATTCGAGACCAAAATTGCTCGATTTAGGGGGTGTTTGTGGTTACTTCTATTAAAAAATGTTTTTTAAAGTTATAGAAAGTGTTTAAGTGTACAAAATGGTAGTGTTTGAGAAAAAAATACTTTTTAAAAAGTAAAAATGGACAGTGTTTGATAAGAAAAGTGTTTTTGTGTGATAAAAAGGTAAAACATAGTTTACAACAACTTACATCTAAAAATTAAGTGACTATAATATATTTCTTTCTAACGTGGAATGTTATACTCCCTCCGTCCCACAAAATTTGGCCAAAGTTGACTTGCACGTAGATTAATAATGTAAAAACTATGTGGTTGAAATTTGTGCAGAGGAGAGAGAAATAACTTTTGGCACATATTGCTTACTTTAAATGGAAATGACAAATTTTTTTGGGACAACCAAAAAAGAAAATTTGGCTAAGTTTTATGGGGCGGATGGAGTATGTTTTTCTAGCATTATTACATTGATTGCTCAAGAGCAACAGAAGTTGCCGGTGCGCCGAAGAGGATAAGACTGCCGCCCAAAAGACACTCAAGTTTCAAATTTGAAATTTTTTGTAAAATTATTTTCAAAAAAAGTTTCTTTTCAAATTTGCCGATAATGTGTAACTACTTTTTTTGTTTTTGATAGAAAGTGGCTAGATTAAAACTTCAGAATTGAGACAAGTTACATCAAGACAAAAAGCCACACTTCGATCACTAGCCCTAAAACCAGATTTAGAGTTAAACACCTTCCTTCAGTCTCAGTCAAAAAAAGAGTTAAACACCTTCCAAAACAATATAACTCGTTCATCCCGAAAACGGGCACAAATGAGCCAAAAGTGATCGAAAAACACTTCTCATCACCCAACCTAATCTGCATTACTCTAAAGGAAATAGGAAAAAACACAAGCAAAACAAAGCCTAACTCCACAGAAATAACAATAAAAAATACTAACTAAAATTTAAAAAATCCTACTAGAATACTAAGTAGCATGAAATTGCATCTTGAGAGAGTGAAAATCGTCAAAGACCAAAGCGGGTATGGTTTCCCAAACCCGCCTTCATCCTGTTTTTTTATTCATTCATATCTTAGTCCCCCACCATATAGCCAGCGTGACATACTGCACCCTCAAGATTTGCTATCAGAATCGTCATGCTCTCTCGCTTGCTTGCTGTATCATTGAGCCCCCCCAACTGTAATACCCGAGATTAATTTAAGAGGATTAATAGTACTACTCATACCAACAGAGGTGCATCTCTTTTTAAGGGAGCTCATCACCAAGAACTCCAAAGTTAAGTGTGCTTGCACGGGAGTAGTCTTGGGATGGGTGACCCCCTGAGAAGTTTCTCAGGACGCGAATGAGTGAGCACAAAGTGCGCGGTAAAGGTTCATGGTGGTTTGTGAGGACAGTACTAGAGGTCCGAAGAGTATGTGAAGTAACTACCTCGGGTGCTGCGGGGCCGGGTGTTACACCAACCCTCCAAAAAACCACACAATAAACTAGGGGTGGGCACGGTCCGGGACGGAACGGGAATTGGGTTGTCCCGGTCCCGAACCCGTTTTACAATAACGGTTCGGAACGGGACGGGACAAGACGTTGTCCCGTTTAAACCGGTACCGGGACAACACGGGACGGTTCGATCGGGACATCCCAAAAAATTGTAGTCAAACAATTTCAATCCAAAAACAAAACAAAGCTATTTGAAAAAAAAAAACTAGGGCAAGAAAACTCTATGACAAAAAAGCTATAGCTAATATAGAAAATTGTGAGAAAAAAATGCAACTTACCAGATTAGCTACATGAAACAAAAGTTGCAGCAGAAAAAACTATATCACAAAAATCTATCAAGAAATCTATAATAAAATGATAAAAGAATACTTTGAGAGTAAAATCAATTTTTTTTTTTGTAGATAGATGATAGTTCATAGTATGTGATAGTAGGTAGTTTAGAGTTTTTTTAGGTGTTATATTATTAATCAACTAGTATTTAAAAATCATTTGTATTTGGGTTGTGCAAAAAAAATAACTATTATTATTTGGATTACATAATGAGTTGTTAATAAACTCACTAACCTACTACAAAGTACTACGTACAATTTTGGATTCGGGACAACGGGACGGAACGGGATATATTTTACTTGTCCCGGTCCCGTTTTGTTTTAAAACGGTTCGGGACCGGTACGGGACAAAAGTAATGTATCCCAAATATAACGGGACAATTTCGGGACGGAACCGGAACATTCCGGAACGGACCAACGGGACCGGGTCTTTTGCCCACCCCTACAATAAACAACTATTGTGTTTATTGCCGCCTTCCAACCTTGCGATTGAAAAGGCTTCAAAAACCTTGAATAAAGGAACCACCATAGTGTGGCGATGAACTGCTCTGAACTAAGAAGAGAAAATCTAAACCCTAATGCAAGAGAGACCTCTTTTCAATCATGAGTACAGTTATAAATCTAAAATTTTACTCCCTTCGTCCCGTAAACAACTTCTCCCCATCCTTTTTGGGCAGTCCCGAAATTAACTTCACACTTCAAAACTTTCCTTATTTAGCAAATTATCTACATCAAATTATCAAAACAGTGTCAAACAGTGTCCAAATAGTGTCAAACAATGTTTAAACAGTGCACTCCACAGTAAAGTCAAATTTATTTTCTTAATCTGTGTGAAGTCAAACTGTGAACTTAATTGCGACACTGAGGGAGTATTATTCAAGAAGTCTATAATTGTGCAACTACTTACTCAGAGAATGTACTTGTTTGAAGAAAATATGCGCATCAGTCATCACATAATAATGCATTATTACATGCACGAATCATGAATCAGCCCAATAGACATGGACACGAACCCACTGATCTAGTTAGTGGGTCTATCACATATCCCCTTGGCCTTAGCCTATGCTATTGGGCGATTTTCCTCTCATCATAACCTCCGATCACATGCAATAATTTGTGTACAAAACTGTATAGCTTACTCATGTACATGTTATATATGACCTCTTATAATATTATCTCTATTCATTTAATTACTACGTATATTTTAATGTCACATATGAAAAAAAATGTATTCCATTGAAATATATAGACCTTTCGGTACTCTAATTTTCAGTCCTTTTTAAATGTGTAAAATTACATTAACAATATATATACCCATTCAAATATTATTAACTATTTACCTTTAAATATAAGTTAACATTAATTGTAATTCTCCACGGCATAGAAGGGTGAGTTTAAAGATGTTTTTACTTGGCCTGATTTCATGTCTAGACAGACCAAATCAGATCAGAACAATGCAAATAAAATCATATCAGACTTAAATTGACCTGATCATACCAGACCAAACTAGACTTTAACAGGTCAGACTGCACAAGACATCGAGTTATAAATACACAGAGATCAGACATCTACCAGACTAGACTAGACTTAAATAAACTAGACAAGGTCAGAGTCATCAGATTAGAAAATTTTAGTTCAAATAAAAACATCCTTATAATATAATTACTCTGTATTATATTAAATAGCTAGAGTTTCAATAGATTTCCTTAAATTAAATGTAAAACTAATATGAGTATGTATATCATCATAATCAATGCTGGGTGTAGGAAAATCTGTTCAGTTTGATTGAACTGTACCATACCAAATCAACTAGATCGAACCCTGTGAAGTTCAGTTTGAGTTTAGTAGTATTTGTGTCAAACTATAGTAAATCGAATCCAAAACGTGAAAATCCAAATATAACTGATTGGAGTAAAATATTCAATAAAATCTTAATACTATTGTGTATTTTATGAAAAACCGACCCAAATAGAATCAAACCAAACAGAAATATAGTACTACTTCCGTCCTCCCAAGATTGTGATAAAGGAGAGTGGTATGGTCTTTAAGAAAATTAGATTTATGTGGTTGATAATGAATTAATAAAGTGAGAATAAAGTAAGAATGAATGAAACAATTATAGTAGGATCGACGGAAGCAGTACAATTTTCCTTTGGTAATAATCATTCTTTCAATTGTTATACCTTTTTCATTTATGATTCATTTTTTTATATAAAAAATATCATAATTTTAATTTTTTATGATCTTTCATATAGTATAATATTACATATTTAAACTTAAATAAATCCTTGTAAATATAGATACTCTGATATTTGGGAAAAGAAATTATATCCAATGGTGGTATCATTGGAAAAATCATAAAAAATACGGAGTAATTAAATTTGATGTATTCTTTTATAAAAATGGATCTTAAATAAATAAAAATTATAACAATTTGAAGGGATAAAAGATGCCATGCCACATGCAGCATGCCTAGGAGGGAAGGAGAGACGACCATCACACTCTAGATAGTTTGGAG